AGCCAAACCTACTGGTTTAGGAGGAGAAGCGACAGGAGAAGTTGTTGGAGACTTAGTCGGTGGTGACATAGTTGGTGGACTCATCGTCGGGGTTGTAACCGGAACAGGTGGTGTAGCAACCGGAGAAGGTGTCTCTGCGGTTGGTGTAATAGCCGGAGAAGGTGATTCAACGGGAGGAAGAAGTGAGATAGGTGCCGGAGCCGGAGCCGGAGCTTGAGCCATACATGTGGTGGCTAATAGACCAAGAAAGATTAATGTCTTAATAGCTGCCATTATATCTTAATCTCTGTTTCAATTTCTTACAAGAGAGATTGAAACTAAGGCGATAGCTCTTTTTGTCTTCGTTGGTGGTGGGAGAAATGAAAAATAAGGGTTCTCAATATATATATAGCTAAGAAGATTATATTTAATTGATATGTTTAGTATTTTGACTCTTTAAACATGCTAAGCACATAGATCGTAGATATACAACTATTTTGTTTATTTATTTATTTGGAATATCAGAATTAGTAGTCTTTACCAAGTCTCTTTTGAGTTTTGAAGTTTTCTTGAAGAATTGTCTACAAAGAGGAACAAATAAAGCATTTATTTGTTTTCCTAATTATCGAATTTAGGAACCAATCTTAGCATACTAATCTACATGAGTTTATGAATTAGGTTAAGATATATGGACAATGTCGTGTTAAAATGGTGTCATGTGCAACTTGTTATACAATAACCTTTGCTTATCTTCGCTTGTAAAATCCGATAAGATCAATGAAATATTCTAATTATTATCTTGTAATGTAATAATCCGTCAAATTTTTGTAGCATTAAAATTATACGAGTTTACAATATTACATGATCGAATTAAGGAAATGACATATTTTCGTGCCAACCGATACACATCGAATACTTAAAAAATTATTAAAATTTTGTTTTTGCTAATAGTCAAGGCCACGAGCAATACTTGGTTCCCACTAAGGTTACGACGAGGCGTAGACAAACAACACATTATCCGTGAATGATTATGACATTATGAGGAAAATATCTACAAGTATCCTTATATATTAATTGTGATATATTAATTGTGAAGTGCTTTTCTGGAATTTGATATTATGTTTCCACCAAATTCATTCTCACAATTAAAATGTGACATGACATTTTCAAAAATATGACATAACATTCTAGCCCATTACTCTTTTATTACATTAGCCCAAACTTAATAAATTAGCCCAAATTTAATCACTTAAATGAATTTGACCGAAATTTTTATTAACACAATTACTTACCACAATTAAATCTAATCTAATAATGTTCGACTATATATTGATAAAGGATGACGGCAACCAAAACATTCATATTCCTTATATATTAATTAGAGAGTGATTTTTTGAAAAAAACTTATGTGTCTTCACCAAAATCATTCTCCCAATTTTAATGTGACATGACATTGTAAAAAATATGACATGACATTCTCTCTAATTTATAGCCCATTAATCTCTAATTAAAATTCCTTATATATTAATTAGAGAGTGATTTTTTGAAAAAAACTTATGTGTRTTCACCAAAATCATTCTTCCAATTTTAATGTGACATGACATTGTAAAAAATATGACATGGTATTCTCTCTAATTTAGCCCATTAATCTCTAATGAAAATTAGCCCAAGCTTAATAATAAAATCGGCCATAATTCAATTAACCCAATTTTACAAGCTATTGGTCTAAATTATTTCTAATTCTACATTAAACTCATCTTTTATATATAAAGTTATACGAAAATAATCATGAATTTTTTTTGCAATTTAAGTAATTTTAAAAAAACGTCTAATCTAAATGTCCAATTCGTTATTGAATCTAACAAAAAACAGTATTATCGATAATAGATATTTTTATTTTAGATATTATTATTCAAAACTACAATAATTCACACGGGATTTAATCAAATGGATATTGAACACAATTGATCACAATATGTTGTGTTTTGTTTTGTCAATTTTCAAAAGAATTTACACACACAATAGTAGTATTTTGGTGCAATGTGTTAACGACAACGTCGACACTACAACATCAATAGAAATGGAAAAACTTTTAGAAACGACAAAATCTTACTTGGTTATTACGATATAAAGTTAGGTACAATGACCAATTCAATTATTTTTTGTTAATTGAATTGTAAATAATATTATTGTCAACGTTATTAATGAAAATAAAATTAGTGCCAAAAAACAGAAAAAAAATTATTTTGTATAAAAAAATTTGAACTTAAATCATTAACAATTTTTAACCACGAAGTAATATTTTTTAATTTATTTGATTTTTAAAAAAATAGTTAACCGCGTGTATAATTTTTAACAATTTTAAATTTGAGGGGAAAGTTTGGTTGGATCGCACGAGAGAACCTTT